ACACTCCACAAGCTATGGAACAGCAAAGTAGAGGGATATATAATGTAAATACTGGCTGCCATTGATTTCTTCTTCGTCAATTTCTGGTGGGTGAGAGAGTGACTCAAGGAAGCAATTAGTGATTTAGCGAGAAGAGAGTCTTGAATATCATTTGCCTTGATTCCTTTCCCCCCACTCAACATCTTCAAGTTTAATGTTACTTTGTCCATTTACAATTGCAACGATTTTACCACTTAAGAGTGATGTAATTATACGATTACTCATATAAGTTCTCCATATAAATTGCATTTTATCATTGTAAGTGAAATAAAACGAGAGAATTTATTTTGTAGAAATAAAATAAAAGACAATTGAGCATGAAGACGGCCAACTATTTATCTCTTTTTCCCACACTTTTTCGCAAATGTTTCTTTGGTTGTTGAAGAGCGCGCGTGTGTCACACAGAAAATGGAACCAAACACGAGGGCACAATTGGTGCAAATCTGCTTTTGACTTTGCCATGAAAGCTCTACACTCTTTTTGCCTTTTTTCCCAACACTCTCCGGCCTTCACTTGTGAATGTCATCACGATTATAATTCGCAGTCTCATTTGCATTGTGTGATAGTCGCATGAAAATCCCCCTTCGCGTGTGTTTTTCCCTCTTTCCCAAGGGAGAATGGGATGATTTGGTCCAGAGTTTGTCATGATAAGACACCCGGAAAAAGGTACAATCTGCTCCTCGAATCCTTCCCTTTTTCTTCATCACACCAGTGCGTGTATTCCAGAGTCACTGGGATGCGTGCAAAAAAGGGTTCTGCCAAGGAAATTGCCTATGAACGGGAAAGTTCTTCTTCACAGCCTAACACAACACTGCACACCATCAGAGGGATAAATAAAAAAGGCTCAGGTTTGCACAGAAAAAAGACTATCAGAGGAAATTGATTAAGAAGTCTCGGGTATAATATAAATATTGTGAGAAGTCTTTCACAGTGAGTTGAATTGAATAAGAAATCAATAAGTTCTTTTCACCATGGAACGTGATTTAACTTTTTTTCTGTGTACAAAAATTCGAAAGGAATTTTTATGTATTCTTGTCTGTCGGATTTATATTTACCTTCACGTTGCTGCAAATCTTTGAAATATATTCAAGGAATAATATTTCCACCTTATCTAATCAATTTTTCAACTAATGAAAACAACTCATTATTGAGAAGTGAAAATAATGTGTCTTGAGAGATATCAAGGTGAGTGTTTAGATTAAAAATTTATCATAATTCGCTATGCTTCTTTCTTCTCTAAAAACAACTAAAAATTTCCTGAGGTTGTTCAGGTGCATTGAGAATTGAAAATCGTCCTCGCAAAGTCATAAAAGTCATTAGCAAACGGGTTTAATGAAATTATTTTTCCCAATTATTGACATCAAGAAGTGCATGAAAATCGCACAAGAACTCCTATTTTAAATACGAGTTTCCATAATATATCAATCAATCATTAATAAATGTGTAATCAATGTCACGTGTCGCACTGAGTTAAGCATTTTTAAATAATCTATTCAGAATAAGAACTCGTATGAAAAGTATTTATTAAAGATCAATTAGCCGTTTCCTCGCAATTTACAGAATTTACTTAGAAATTATAAAAAATTCTATGACGCTCGTGAGACAAATTAGATTAAACATGATCTTTTCATTTGACTTTGTGGACAAATGTTGACATTATGCTTTCCATAATCGTTTACTATTGAAGTCATTGTGTTGGAGATAAATAAATCTTAATTAACAATGGCTTGTTCATCACGTTTTCTTTCATGAATTAACATCTCTAATACACATTTTTTCTGCTTTGCAGTCTTGCAGCATAAATTGAGACAATAAATTCAGCAAACATGAAATGGAAATTCAAGCCTGGCTGACCATCTACAGCAAGAAAAATACATAAAACTATCTCAATGACCAAGTGACGAGCACTCGAGCACAAGTGTAGACATGTGTTATGTCTTGAGCAAATTGCTGATGCTGTGGAAGTCGAATTAATTATCCCAGCCGAAGAATAAGTGTGCAAATAAAGTTTATGTGCATATGAAAATGAATGAAAAATGTCTGGCTCTGGGCTGTGTATCAAGTGCTGCGGCACAAGTTGATGGCGCGTTGCACGCTTCATTTTCTTGTTGAGATGAAGGCGAGAAAAAATAATGAGACGAGACTTTCCTCGGCGGAGTCTTTCATTAGACAGAAAAGTGTATTTAAACAAGCACAAATACGAGAGACAAACATGCGGTTGAGAGGAGCTTTTTACACTGGTTTTTAATTTAAATAAATTTGCTCGCACATTTGGCCAAAATTTAAATAATCCACAATTTTAATTTGACTCCCCGCCATGTCTCAAAAATCATCAGTCCACACACTTTTGTGTTGGCAGATTATTGGATAATAATGATGATGAGATGAGGAGAATGAAAATTTTATTGGTGGCCTCACGAGACACCACGTTTTTTCTCATGCCTTTCGCCCCCAAAATCTGCTCTGAATATCGCGAATGGAATTCAATATTTGCCCGGAATGTGTTGCTGAAGGGACGTCCTATTTATTGGCTGTGACATGATAATAATTAAAATTCAGAGTGAAGGATGATGAAATCATTTATATTGTGTGTGTTTCAGGAGTCAAGTGTGCGCGCCCTTCTTCAAAATATGTCGAGATGTGTCTGTCGAAAGAGCGAGAGGGCTCGTCTAGAGGGTTGTCAAGAGTGGCGTCGATGACACCACTTATTGATTTCTGTCCCAACGGTTATAAACAAATAAAAGGAATTTCTGATGGCACTTTGAATTCTCTCCCGAAATGTCTCTCTGATGTATCCATTGAATTTCAACTCCTCCGCACTTCGTCCAATTCGTCGTTGGTTCAGTAAAATAAAACAAACATTGCGAGGAAAAACTTGTGTGTTTCATCTGCACGCTGTGCAGAAGGGATTCCTTCCTCAGGAGATTTAACTTTGTGTGGATTGTGTGATGTAAGAATAAATTACTGTATCAAGACCACCTTCTTGCCTCAACTTTATGCCACCAAGTCACCCCCCTTTTCCACCCCCCTCAATTCCACCCACGAAGCAACACACATTTGTGTAGTGTTGCGAGTTATGGATTGTGTGTGCAAGAATAGGATTCTGGCCAAATCTACACCATAACATGTGGAATTATTTATTATTTTGTATATTATTTGTCTTCAGTGGCTGGAAAAAGGGGGCAGAAAGAGAGCGGAGACAGAGGAAATCCCTGTGTAAATGCCTGAAAACGACAAACTGCGCTGCTGGGCATTTTTTCCGTGCATGTGAAAACCATTCAGATATTCCCGAGAGATGTATAGAAATCACATAGGAATACTGCCGTATTTTCCCGGAACATTTTCATCCTTAGCCAGCAGTAGTAAAAAGGGGACTTTTGGTCTCTTTATTTCGTTACAGTTCACGTAAGCATTGTCTGTATCTGATATTTTATTAGGGTATCTGTTGGGCATTTTAACCTACAACGTGGGCAATGACATGAAATTGTGTGTATGCGGAAATATTGACTTTCCTACCCTATTTTCCGGCCCTAATGCCCAAATGTGTGAAAAATAATTCGAAACGCAGGTACAAAAATGGATGATACAGCGGTTAAAATGTTGGGAAAGATAAATTCTATCGTGATTTGGAACACATTTTCCGCACAAATACCTAAATCACGATTATCTTTCTTGTGACATTTGCACTAATAAAAAATAATGATCTATTAGTCACTTAGTGCTACTCAAGGGGAAAATCACTAGACGATTTTTGAGGGATTATTAATCAAATATTTAAATATTGATTCTTACTTTGTAGAGAAAAAATGAAATAATCCAAATTTTTATTTAAAAATCAGAAAATTGAATGTTTTCGGCAAATTAAGGGGTTTAAACACCCTTGAATAATCTATAAACCACTATAATTTATTATATTATTATTATTATTAAATATTTAAAAATTCAAGAAACAATCAAATATTTTACTTTTTTAATGGTCTGAAATTGCTAGTAATTTTCCCCTTCGTGCTAGTTAAATAAAATTAATGTATATTTGTTGATATGTGAATGAGAAAATGCGCAAATCTCTTATGACGATTCATTTTTATAAAGTCATAATATTTACAAAATCAATATCAAAGATGTCAACATCAGTAAAAGCTAGTGGAGTGAAATTAAATGATGATGACTAGAGAACAGATTTCGTGCCAAACATTCTAGTGGAATTTTCATCATGAACTTCGATCATAACGCAATTGCAGATGTTATTTTCCTTTGGGGGAGGGAAAAAAACCTGTTATCTGTAATTCTTGATTTTAGCACTGCTTTGTAAAAGAATTGTATTTATTTCCTTGACCTGATAAATCCGGTAAACATGACTCCACTCTGCAAATGTATGACGCTATATCTATTCTAGATTTGTCACTTCTTTCATCGAGAAGACTGTTTGTCGTTCCTCATTCATCAGAAATGTCTATACATTATTTACTCAGTTGTATGACATTGTGCATATTTTATTTTTTACTGCTCCACCTCGAAATTCGTGCTGCTCTTCTGTAAATGATAGCAAATTTTAATCTTTTCCAGCAGTTAAATGACATTTTGCACGTGCACAATTTGAATTCTCTTTATTGCTCAACTTTGCACATTTGTGCTGCTCTTTTGTAATTGATGGCAAAATTTCAATTTTCACTCAAACAAAATTTAATTATGTATATAATATAAATCACCAATTATTTATCAATTTAAAATCAATTAGCGTCTAGAGGAGCTTTTTTTCCTACATTGTCCACGTATTTTCAATGTCTGGCTTTTCACAATAATAATAAAAAAAAGTTTTTCAGTAATAAAAAGCAGAATGATTTTAGCATGTCGCGAAAGGTAATTGGCATCTGCGACACTTTTAAATTTCACAGGTTCTCCTGAATCGGTTTCAGTACAATTCTTCTCTGCGCTTCGTGAAGTTCAGGAACAAGTCAATAATGGATGTTGTGGATCGTGGACAATTCTCAATAATCGACTACATTTGCTTCGCTTTTGTGCTCTTCTTCTCCGCCGTGATTGGATTTTACCATGGCGCCAAATCACGGAAGAGCGCCAGCACGAAGGATGATTACCTCCTCGGCGGCAGAGATATGGGCTTGCTTCCTGTTACATGCTCACTTGTGGCCACCGTCACATCCGGAATGACAATCGTGGGCCTCTCGGCGGAGGCTTATGCCCATGGAATTCACACTTGGATGCTGAGTGTGACGCTTCTGGTGTCGAACACGGTTTTCCTGCACGTCTTCATTCCCGTGCTGTATGAACTGAAAGTGGCGTCGAGTTTTGAGTATTTGGAAATGCGATTCAGCCGAAGTGTGCGAGTGTTTGCGAGCGGGGTTTACACAGTGGCAGGATTAGTGTACTTGCCAGTTACCGTGTACGTTCCGGCCTTGGTGTTCAACAAAGTCACAGGAGTTAATATTTACGCAACTGTGATTGCTCTGTCCATCCTTTGTGCCTCCTACACGGCAGTCGGAGGCTTCAAAGCCGTGGTCTGGACAGACGTTCTGCAGCTGATCCTCATGGTAGTTTCCACCATCATTGTGGCGACTGTTGGCGCCATTTCTGTCGGAGGATTCGAGAATATTTGGGACGCAGCTGAGCGAGGCGGAAGACTCAACTGGATAAAGTATGCAATTACGCCAGTGTATTAAGGACTTCAAGTGTAATGGAAATGTGTTCTAGTTTCAGTGACTTTGGCAGCAGAACCGTCATCTGGGCATACGTAAACTCTTCTCTCATAAATATATATCAATTTGGACTCAATCAAACCTGTCTTCAGCGATTTCTCGCCTTGTCGAGCTTGAAGAAAGTCAAAATCGCCTCCTGGATCGTCGTCATTGCTTTCGGATGCTTCATTTTCATGGCCCAATTCATTGGTGTCATCATGTATGCTTCTTACGAAACTTGCGATCCTTTCACTCAAGGCATCATTCAGAAGCTTGACCAAATCCTTCCACACTTTATTCAGGAGAAAGCTTCAATATTCACAGGATTCAACGGCATTTTCATAGCAGGCATTTTCGCTGCAAGTCTCTCCACAACATCATCTTATCTAAATGCTTTGGGAGGAACTATTTATGAAGACTTCTTGAGCTATCGCTTTGTCAATATTGAGGAGAGAACAGCCAAGAAAATTTTGAAGGCAATTGTGCTGATTCTAGGCGCTGTTCAAGTGTTGATGGTGACTGTTGTGCAGAAAATGGGAATGATCTATAAGATAACAAATCAAACCATGACTCTGTCAACGAGTACAATATTTGGCTTCTTCATGGCCGGCGTTCTTCTGCCCAAAGTTAACGGAAAGGTAATTTATCTACTGAGCAAATTGTAAGAATCTAATGTTCCTCTGTGTTCTCAGGGAGCTCAAGCAGGTGCGTGCGTCGGTGGAATTGTCCTTACAGTCCTCATTATTGGCGGTATGGCAAACAAACCTGAACCGACACTTCCACTCTCGACTGATGGCTGTTCATCGCAAAAAGACGCCCTGCAATTCAGTAATTCAACAATAATTGCTAATGAGAAAGTAATATCTGAAGCTTCTGATGATGTAATTTGGCTGTTTAAGATTCCTTTTGTATATTTTGGCCTCATTGGGATGCTATGCAATCTTTTAACGAGCTACATTGTTAGTCTGTTGACTGGAGGAAATGTCATTGAGAATCAGAAACTTCTGGCTCCATTTCTCAGAACAAATGCAAGAGAGCATCGAGAAAACTTATCGCAAAAGGAAAACTTAATACAGAGAATTGCATGGAGTAAAAACTAGTGCAATTTCTTCACAATTTCCAAGACTTTTCAATAAAGACACCCCACATCTTAGGCTCCTTTTCTGGTCTGACTATATAAGCTTAAGTAATAAATTTGGATAAGAAAAAAACTTTAATATCCTCAGTTATTTATAGTGTAACATCTGCTGCTCAATCTTGGCATTCGCATTACACGAGTTTGCCGAAAGCCTTTGCTGAAACACTGCATGAAGATGCAATTTTCCAACTTTCTGTTGATATTCTACACCGAAGCGGCGGCAGTTTGCGAAATTTAATATGCAAGCACTGTGAGTGGCTAATGAAGAGCATCAACAAATAATTGTAAGTTAATTTGCAATGTGAGAGTGGAAATTTTGAACACTTTGGCGTTATATCGGTGTTGCGAATGACCTAATTAATTACATTCTCACATTTAATTCATTTTAACATCCTGTCTGCGAACTTCAGCACGTTCAAAGTTCACGGCACTTTGTTGGGAGAGTGCCTAACGATGATTTGTAGGGAAGTCAAGAGGCCTGGAAAGGACACAGACTCGTCTATCCTCTTCAACGTCTGTCACTTCCAATGCATTCGCATTTATTGCCTACGTCTTGTTTTATGTAATATCGTGAAATTTAAGAATTCTGCAATAAATTGAATTTCATTGAATCCCTCATTAACTAAGCTCATTTAAAGTCCATTATAAATTCGTCCTCTGCCACTCAGCCAACACTTTATGGTTGGAAGGATCCTTGAATAATCCCAGAGTCTCGCAAATGGCATCCAATTCCATGGAAGATGTATGAAACATTTCATCAATTGGATCAATTACTTTACTCAGATTAAATAGCTTATTAATGAACAATTTTTAAAATCACAAAACCTCTTCTTTTGCCCATTATCTTGTTATTGGCAATTATTGTTTCTACTTCTCCACCCAAATATCCTTCCACAGTAGCCAGAATAATGTCCGACGTAAGGATAACAAACGACATAATAATCACAGGCCTTGGATGAACGAATTTACGAGTCGATGGAAGAAACTCACCTCGGGCAAATGCGAAATTGTAATACACGTGAATGGACGTAGAATTTGTCATGTTAGTAATTGGACGAAAATATCACAACATATGAGTGAATTTATGGGTTTCTTTCAAGAACAAAGACTAAAATAAACTAGAATGAATTTTAAATGAAAAACTGTGATGGGAAAAAGTCAGTGAATAAAGATATTTTCGCATTATCATATCGAAACTTAACACACCCTTGAAACTCAATTGAGGGAAGCGAGCAAATGGCAAACACTCAATTTGAGCGAATTGTGAATTCTGGCATACTTGAATTCACAGAGCAGGTAATTTAAGCAAATATTGAAGCAATGTGACAGATTTCAGTGGAAATCTCTTTTCCTCAGTTGCATAAACTGCACAAAAGCTCCCAAAGCTCAACTGGAGCTGAGGAGGAAAATATAGAATTGATTGCATTGAAAGCCCTTCGAATAGGAAGACTTTGAGAATTCTAAAGTTAATCCCTCATGATTTGAGCCACATTTTGAACCAACATTGACCACAATAAGTCCGCTGAAACTTCTATTTTCCAATTTGTCTCACAGCATGACTTCGCAATGTTGGACGGAAAAGTTTTGCGATGGTGATGAACATGAGGGTTGAAACATATCCAGAGCTTTCCTCATTTCGCTGTACTTGTACACTTATTTGATTTGAAATTGAGGTTGTCTAGCACCCAAGACGGACAATTGGACACTTTGTCCGGACTTTTACGACTTCAAAACAGTGCAAAAATCATACTTTTGCCATTTGACGCGCGCGAGGAAAAGAATTCAATTTGTGAAGTTTAATGAAATTTCAAAAATGCGACAGTGAGAAAAATGACATGGAATCTCTTCAATATTCTTGACCCATTCACTCAGGCGGGATTTGGGATCAAGCACACTGTGCTCTCCTCTCCTCTTATCCACACATGGCCGATGTCCTTCTCATCCTTGTGAGCTTTGGCGCGCTCAAGTGGAAGAAGTGGGGAAAAGTTGCCGGGCAAATATTCAATTGAGTGTAAAAGTGGTCGCCTCGCCATCTCTCGCCAAAGGTTTGGCGCACACATATCCTCGACATGTGAGTCCTCCGGTGGGGAGAAAAAATTCAATAATCAAACACAACTCCATTACTTTTGATAGCAATCTCTTAATTTTGACCTTCTCCATTTTCCACACTCAACGCACATCTCTATTCCGCCTAATGGCTTGACTTCTACCATCTCAGCCTGAGAGTGTCTTGCGTCGTATCCTCTCGAATGTGTCATGAAGCCTGATATATTCAATTTTGATAGAATGGCTCTCGAGATCTCCGGGGATCATAAACAAGGAGTCTCTCTGCGCCGCAAAACGGCCGAGGCGCTCCCACAAACACACTAAAATATTTAATTCCTCCCTCATTCGCCCTTTATTGTGCATCTCTCGCAGTGGCGGCGGATCAAGGGTGCCACCGTGTGTCTTCAGCCACATTCGGATTACATCTGAGACACAGGCGTCGTAAAAGGCGTCTTAATTTCCCACAGAATCACATATGACACACTCGGTGAATTTATTTGTCGTGCGGAACACCCATAAATTCAGAGGCAAATCACCCAAAAATTAATTTTATAGCGTGTTATTTCATCACACCATCTTCTTAACGCCACACCCACCCACAAATTGGGCGGCCAAAGGTGAAATAGGCACACATTGTCGCGACGCACTCGACACGCCAGCAATTCGTAGATGTACGCAAAGCGAAGAGCCATCATACCTTTCTCCGAATGGGCGAGATTAGGAAAATCCCACTGGTCCAGTCTGGAGCATGATTCACGAGTTGCTCAACCTCTTCAGCGCGTCTGCAGAGCTTTGCGCCGAGACATCGCCAGCTGCTGATGAGATTTGCCACTCTCACTTGAGGCACTTCTGCACCCACATTTCGAGGTTGAGGCGAAGAAAGAAATTGCAAAATCTGTACATAAGTCGGTCAATTTTATAAATCAACACCTTGAAAATGGCAAATAAGATTGTTGGCTCGAGATTTGCTTCAGATTTATGCGTCTCGTCTCAAGTTCTTGTGCTCTAATACCTGTAAATTCACTCCATGTCTCTGAACTCTTTCTTCAACCCTGGGATATTGATTTTCTTGTTTTAATCCTGAATATCAACCCACTCATGATTCAATTCAAAGATGTAATTGAATTAATAATTCCTCAAATGCTTCGCTCTCTTATTACCATAAAGTATGAATTTTTATTTATATTCATCATCGTATCTTATCATTGATTTTTACTCTTTCAGCTCAAATGAGTTGTTCTTTTATTCATTGATATTTTATTAACATGATTTTTGTCCTGATTAAGATTAAAAGGATGAAATTATGGATTTTGATCCGTATTTTCTGTGTAGAAAATCAACAAATCAAATTTTCGTGAAGATTTGACTGAAATGTGCCAATAAATCTAATTGGCTTTCTAAAGTGCAAATGATTCCAACAGTCAAATTAAGGATGATTTCCACTTATCAAGTTTTCAATCGCAACAACTGAAGTGTGCTCGTTAAAATGCACACACGCTCTGGTGTTTATGGAATCCACGGAATGTCTTCTTAACTTTTCTTCTCCATGAGATAAAGCTTACGATGTGGATAACAAATACAGACACATTTGGCACATAAGACTTCCGACAGCCATTTGATACTATTTTTAGGATATTCCTTCACATTTCTGGTTAGTCATAAAACATCCCCCAATGTATGTAATTCTTCGAAAATGTACATATATCAAGAGTGTCTTTGGAAAACGATAAATTCACACCGCAAGAATACAGCGTTGGGATGAAATAAGGATGAATGCATACTTTATTTATGAGCGTCTGTGACAATTCGAACAAAGGTGTGAAAGGAGCAGAGCGAATTCTTCAATGCCTCTCCACATACACGCCAAAATCATGCCCATTCAACATGCTCCGCTCCCCGGGGAGTGTGTTTTATTTTACAAATTGCTGTATTTCCCCAAACAGCCGCAGAGACAACTTTATCACCCTAATTCAAATGCGGTCGCCGAGGGAAGATGGGTCGTGATTGAGATCCTGTGTCAGAATACAAGCCCCGCAGTTGACTCCTCCGCCCACACACACACGAGCAATAACTCTCCTTCCCAGGCTCCCGAGGAATCATCGTGTTGGGAAAATGAGGAAGGCTAAATAAGAGCATTTCGATGTCTCATTTGTGCGCCCGTGGAAATTATCATGCTTCATCAAATGACAGAATAGAACTTCGCATATCGAAGGGTGATTCGGAAACTGTGAAAAGTGCGACTTTTTCCCAAGAAAATTGTCTCAAATTGCAGTGAAAAAGCTCTGTGAGAAATGTATTAATTCTAGATTTACGAGATCTTCCTCAAATGTTGATTTTTTAGACATTTTACTCGACTTTTTCGGATAAAATGTCCTCAAAGACTATTAAAAGTAGACTTTTTTGAAGTAATATTTTTATTTTGTCCCAGATTTAAGTCAAAAATTCCCAAAAATACCAATGAAATCAATAGGAAAATTCACAAAATAATTATTACAGAGCAATATTAACACTTTAATTGCCTTTTATGATCGATTTGAAGGAGTTTTGAGGTATATTTCGACAACTTTCTCTCTTGAAATGTGATAATTTTGCCTTTCCATAGTTTTCGAATCACCCATCGATAAATTATTTCCTTCAGTTGCTCATAATCATGTGATATCTGTATTGTCTAATTTCCAAAATCTCCTCGTTAATATTGACATTTCTCGAATGTTTGCGGTGTTGCTGCAAATATTTATTCTGTTAACTTTTTCGTCGACAAACTGTGAAGAATTCTTGGGGTTATTTTATGAGTGTGAAGGATTCCATTTCTTGCCATTTGCCCAACTTTCGTCAAAACCCTTTCCCTCTGTATTTTTGGGGATATAAACCCAAAACAAACCCAGAATATCGACACTCAATCTCCATACATCATACTTTTTCCTGTGTATCCAACGACCCGGTTTTGGAGAGATACAAAAAGGGATTACGATGAGCCGGGAAATCTTTACAAATAGACGAGTTAAAAGTTAGCAAAATGTGTTATGTGAGACTTGTTTCAACGACAAACTTCACACGGATACGCCAGTAAAGCTCTTTAAGTACTCAGCATATATAGATTTCCGGGTTTAAACAGGGATTCGGTGAAGTTTCACTTAAAGTTTCTCAGCCGTCTTTTTGCTCGCGAAGCAAAATCATGAAGGAGAGAGTCAGAAATGGCAGAAGAAAGGGAGAATAATGAATAGGATTCAAATTTCAAATGAGATTCAATAAATATGATACTCTCGTAGGCACTTTATCTCAATCTCAAGCCCAGGGAAAAATGTTGTGCCTCATATTCAAGCCTCAATCAAATTATTCATTATTGTTCGGGATGCCATTAAATATACTGTCAACTCAGTCGAGCGCCTCAACCTCATTGGCATAAAATTTCCAAGGGAAATCCTTTGAAATTCATGTACCTCTAATTCTTTTTATTTTCACTTTGGCCTCCCATCCCTTCAATCCTTCGGCACAGTGGGGGCGGAGGGGCGAGGCTTCCCCAGAAAGCGTGAGATATCAATCAAATTTTACCACCTCACACCACAATTCCGAGGCTTTCAGTGGCGCAGAAGAAACGTATAAAAAAAACACCACCGCATGCAAAAGGGCCAAACATTTGCCGGAGATGATTTTGATCCTGGAAATTTCACATGATGACTTTGCAGACGAGAGCAAAAAGGATGGAAAATCTGTCGGCGAACGCGCGGGCAGCGGAGAATAAGGGTTGGAGGGAGTGACTGAGAGGGAGTAAGAGATTGCCAGCAATTCTGCTGTAAACAAGGAGAGCGATTGCCGACATTCTTCAATGGTTGATGGAAAGGAGGGAAATGATTGAGGATGAATGAAAAATTCAAATGATAATTTCTCCATGGGAATTTTAATCATTAAAATCACTTCCTAATGAAATTCTAACCCCCCCAAATCGACATTATGATCATTTTCAACGAAATTGTCGGCAGCAACATTGCCGTCCAACAATTGTGCCTCGGATTACACGAGGAATATTAAGTTGACGACTCTTGGGAAGGAAGAAAGTGAAACATCTCGAGACCATTTGTATCGGCTTGGGAATTTCTCTATGTAAGACGGGAAATAAAGAATGTTGAAATATTGGGAAAACGAAGAAGGGAAATATTGTGGGAGAGTGTGAAAAATGAGAAGAGAGAGAGCACAGGAAGTGAAAAAGGCAGCAGTTTCACTGTATTTCCTCTTAAATTATTTCCCAGCCTGAGATCGACTGCGGAGCTTTCCGCCCGATTTGTCCGCTTAAAATCATACCCACGGTAATTTTCATTTCCGCCCCCGCATGAATACGAATTGATTCTGCCGAGATTGGCTGTCGTCTCGTCAATATGTTCACTCTTTCCCTGTCAACACACACAGTCCAAGTATTGCTAATGCCGCCCCGGAGCCCTTATTGAGTTTCCCATCATCTCTATCTGATTTAATGTTTCGACTTCTTTAAATTCCACTCTTTCACCTTCACGAAACACGACGAACACGCTGCGATAAGAGGGATTTTTCTTCCTCCTCTCCGGGTTCAGACAAATAGTCGGAGATTTTGGTGGCCAGAAGGGATGCCACAAATGAAGCAAGGCAGAGAATAGCCTTTGATATTGTCAGGATGAGCTTGAGTGACGACATGTGAAGATTTCCAATTACATTTCCCCACTGAAGAGAAATCAATATCGACACGAGGAGAACCACTCAAAAAAAACACTCCAATATAGATAGTATAATAAGTAGATGGCCGAAGGGTTTTTTTGCTGGCCAAGGAGAATTTAATTCTCAAAGAAAAGTCGAAGAAAATTAGCGTACAACGTTGAATATCGCGTCGTTCACATTCAAATCCTACTAGCGAAGACTCGCCAAGCTCTCCGATATATCGACGGCGTGTCTCAACTAATACAAATTTTGTAAGACATTCGTAATGAATGTGGAACGTGGAATGAAAATCGAGAGAGAGAGAGATAAAAATAGCCGTGAGAGAGAATGTCAAATACCTTGGTGTACTGACCCAGTTATCTTCCCAGGCTTTCTGAAGCTTCACCTCCTCATCCTCGCTCTCCATGTCTCACGAGATCATCCCCATTCCTCCGCCTGCACCTGATTTCGCCGCTGTCACCGCTTTCCGCAGCTGCGCGAGTCCCAAATACACCGTCGCCTTGCCGGAGTGTTTGTGGGCGTCTGCCGACCCGGAAGTGCAGAAGTCCTGCTTCCTGGCGCGCGTGTGTCAGCACAGAGCCCCGCGGGAATGTGTCTTCCACCGTGTGGCGCCCATTCTGCAGGAGGGACCCACTTGTGGCTTCGTGACCATCAGCATGCTCCTCGGCGGCGTCCGCACAGCTGACCAGCTCTTCCAGGAGGCCAAGGCGAAGGGATTCACGGCGCTGGGTGAGATGTTCAGCGCCGCCAATCTCATGGACATCCTGCAGAGTCAGGTGCAGTTTTCCGGCTCGTGCCACCTATTTGTGGGTGATCTGAACTGTGATGAAATCCGGGAGGCTCTCAAGCGCGGAGTCTGTCTGATTGTGCCCTATGACTCCGACGTCAACCACTCTCCCTGCCTCAGGCGGGGTCACAAGGCTCACTGGGCCCTCATAACTGGATACTTGATAGATGACGATGGACAGGTGAGGAGATTTCCTACCGTGAAGTTGTCGTTCAGTGGCTGTAATCAATTTTCCTCCCAGTTTTATGTGATAGCGCGTCAGGGAAAGTCTCGCCTGCTGGGCATCTGGCCACTGTCTGTCCTCGCGGAGAGCAATGCGAATCTCACGGAGTTCGCCCAGCCCAAACAGCATCCAGAGGCGAACTTCATCCTGCCCGAGGGCGGAATTGCCGGACCCAAAGGACTCTGCCGACGATCGATAGTCATTTCCGACGGTTTCGCCGGAGATAAATTCATTTTCCACTGACTGTGAATTGCTTTGTTGTTCTGTGCAGATTTTATATATATATTATGTTCCCTGTTGAGAAAATTATTTGTGTTTTTGAGGTTGAGAATAAAGGGAAGAATTATTACAGGAAAAGTCTGCTGAGTTTCTTTTAAATGTTTTTAATCACATTTACAGTACAGTCAAGCATTCTTTTTTTTATCATTAATGATCTCTTTTTTTTCACCTTTTTCTTAGGTCAATTTAACTGTTGAAGTTTTCTCAATATCTTTGATATTTTATTCTTCATGACAAATTCATCGTTTTTTCCTCTTGTCGGTATTTTGAACAATAATTATTTATATGTAATTGATTACTTGTGTGTTGGTGTGATTATTGAGGTTTAATTCTTCACTACTGAAATATCCTTTAAAATTACGTATATATTACTTTCGCTACAAAATTTTTCTTTTATCATTAGGGGTAGTTTTTTTTATAATTTTCTCTTCCTCTTATTCTCCTCTCGTCAATTGCATTTCTCGTAAAAAGTCACAACCAAGGATCTTTTCTTCTTTTTTTCTCTAACTCTTTTCTTCTGCTTCAATAGCGCGAAATGTTTTTTTTTTTCAATTAAATCAGTGAAAGAATTTCGCGTTGTAAAAAGTGTGCAAACGGGTGTGAAAATATGGGGGAAAAAAGTAGGATTTTGTGGCAAAAGAGAGTAAACAACAACATTGCGGCAGTTAAGCGATGTTCAAAGGAAATTCTGCAGTGTGTTGAACTGCAAAATCGCAAAATCAAATCCATCTGGCGACTTTTTTCTCATACAAAGTTTATAAACTAGAAGAAAAAAGGAAATCATCGCGAGGCAGATTTTTCTGCACAATTTCTCACAACATTTGAGAGAAGAGGAAAATTCTGTTAATGGTTTTATGGTTTTCATTTTCATCATATTTGCTTCTGTTTATGCTTCTTCTTTTTTTATTTTTTGATTAAATATTCTCTTCGCTAGAGTGTAAATATCCCTTTATCACTTGATAAAGGCGCGTAGAGAGAGAGTTAATGGTTATACTTTTATAAGATAATATAGTTATTCTTGTAAGAGCAGTTGAGTATTTCAGTGAATTGCAGTTTTACACAAGACTTACACAAGACCATCTCTTCGTCCAGAAACATTAAGTAGTTTAAGGTGTGATATACTGTTTCCTGTCCTGTAGAATGACAAATACAATCAATATATAATTACAATTTCATTTCTCACAATAGAAAGGGGATTAAATATTGTTGGGCTCTTCTCGCACACGCGCCAAAAGACACACGCCGCCCCCCAAAAAGTGACGCGCCCCTTTGCGTGCCGAGGGAAAAAGTTTACACATGCAACTAGATATACTCGTAAGATATAAACTCCTGTTCTCCACTTATCCTGAATCGTCACAAGAAAACGTTTAAACATAAAATGAGCAAGAGATGATATATATATATTCCTAAATCCTCCTTGATCAACTGGGTTGAGGAAAAACTACACGTCTAGGATTTTTCTTCTACACACATTTTCAATAGTAAACACAGCTATTTTTCTTCTCCCTTAATCTCCACAATAGAATACAACACTCAATTTTTACTTCTTTAATAAACCTGCATTAATGTCTTTTTATTTCTTTTTGATATTATTTATCATTCTATTCATTTTATTCACTATCCCAAATTTGTAATAATTCAATTTTATACCATTTTATTCTTCTCTTTACTTTATTGACTCTTCATGGTAATATTATTACCAACTGTAATTCCTTCAAAAGTACTTTTCCTTCTTTTTTTTTACTTCAAAGTTTGCAAAGCACTTTTAAAATATATTTCGTTGCAATTCCATTCTTTTAATTTTATTATTTTCAATATAATTAATTTCTCAATTCAACTCTCAAATTGTCCTTTTTTTACTTCACATCTCAATTAAATATTAATTATTGTTCCGTGATTCAATTACAACTTCAATAAATTCTTTCCTCATTTCTTTTCTTCATTTTTACCACTCATTGATTCCCATATTTTTTTTCTTCCAATTCCTGAGCGCATTTGCTCAATTTCTGCCGAAAAATCTCTCCATCCATTAAGAAACCACAGCCGAGAAGTTGGTTTTTCTCCTTCAAACTCTCCAGCGTCTTCTCCTTGATTCACAAACTAATTATACATTGAAAGAATGATTTCAGATATGTCAACTTCACTGATAGATACAATTTATGCTCCAGCATCGCATGAAAATCATGACTTTCTCTCTCTCTCTCTCTCTCACACATGAACAATTTGCAACTCTCTGAATTCCTACTAAAATCACAATTATTTTAAAATATATCGTATATTACAAAAAAATTTAAAAGGCTCCTCATGTCTCATCAACGTAGTTTTGACTTGCCAAAGCCGCTGAATTGCTTAAGCGCGTTGAGGAGGAAAAGCGCGCAAGATGACTAGGTTTCGGCCGGAGCCAGCGGAGCACCAATCAATCCCACGGGGAAGTTCTTCACGTGCGTCTGCCACAGCGAGGAGAGCTGGAAGAACTTCACACCTGTCCACTCAGTGCCATCAATGTACACACGCAGCGGCACTGGATGCGATGGTTTTGGCGAGCAGATGAGCCGCGCGATGCCATCAACACTCTGCTCCTTCTCCATATCACGATCCTTCTCCTTCTTCTTCCCCAAGCGCATTACTACATAATCCAGATATTGCGGGAGAGACGAGAGACAATGTGAGAAATGAAAGCTTACAACCACTCACTTGAATTGTGGTGTGGTTTGAGGGAGGATTGAATAATTGAGTGATTTCTCATGTTATACGCACTTTTCTGCTTCTTCTCCTTCGTGGAATAGCTCAGCGTCAGCCCATATGGAAGTTCACCGGCCTGAGGATTCGGAGGGAGTCGCCAAACCTTTTTTTTGCCCCATGGCGAGGAGAAATCATTGCGTCATTAGTAACAACATTTTATCACCACATAAATTGATTGAAGGACAGGAAATTTCTCACCTGCAAATTCCTAAAAGTGCTCTTAATACTGTTTTTGCCCTGATCAGTTCCCTTCTTGTCCTCCTTCTTCTCCTTATTGTCTGTATATCGCGCGGCGACTGGCCAATAGTCAATCTGCAACTCATACGACTCAGGCTGTTGCGCTTGCATCTGCTGCATCTTCTCCAATTTCTCCAGCTTCTCCAACTTCTCCTGCTTCTCTTGCTGCTGCGATGGTGTGGCCGGCGTTGTTGGCACCGGCGGCGACATGCGGCCACTCTGCGGTGGTGAACTTGACAGAGCACTCGAGATCTGCTGTCCACTCAGGCCGAGACTCTCGTCCATGTCCAGAGACACCTGCGGCCCTTCAGGGCAACCCAATTTCACATCCTGCAGAGCAACAACAACAGCCCCAAACATGTCCCTTCATTAGTACACATCGTATTGACAAGGGCATTGGTAATTAACATTCACGTGGATTAATTGTTCCCTCAGTGATAATGTGTTTCTGCCCACAGGAAATTAATACCCCACAAAAGAAAATCAATAAATCTCCGATGGCAGAGCGAAAGCACAAACAATAAACGGATGATTTCACTGCATTAAGTCGTGCCCAATAAGAATATCATTAATTTCCCATTTAATTACAAAGAGGAATTCAAGAAATGGTCAGTGAAATCATCATTACGAAATCAGAGAGGCGATAAATTATCAATATCGATAAAATGCCAAACACTTCCCATATTCCCCATGCCGACGGCAGAGGAAATGCATTGGAAAACAGGGAAAATTGCACACAGCAACGCTGCGCACTAAATTTTCTCGGTGGTGAAGCAGTATAATGTGTGAAAAACCACAGAATTCTCACTGGATATGACATAATACACGTTCAGATTGTTGGTTTATAAGCCGAGCACGGATTACAGGATGGCACGCAATTTAAATTCGATAATAAAATCACTTTAAAACACCACCACTGAACATGCCAAGGACACAGGAAAGTGAATATAACTAGAAATATTGCATTAGTTATCCCATTAATGACTTATTAGACACATTTTGAGGGCATTTCGGGAAGAAAAAAAGGAAGATTTCAATGTCTTTAACAATAAATAACTCCGTTAAAATCGCTAAATCCACTTAATCACTCTGTCTATCTTGTTAAGATTCGGTAATAACATTAAGCAATTAGTATTATGAGCTCATTATTATCCATCAATTGGATTCAGGGATTTAAATTGACTGCAGAATACTCACACTGACGAATGGAACGAAGATCTGGCACGAGTCCTCCTCCTTGTAGTTGACCATGGCCTCGGCGATGGGGATTTGCGTGCACGGCCCGGCGCTGTGCAGATATCTCTGCACCCTGTTGGTCACCTCGATCACATCAATCTTCGACTGTGCGGGATCCGGACCGATGGCGCGCTCGCAGAGCTGCTGCCAGCCGTCGCTGCCGAACATGGCGCCATACGTGGCGTCCACGGCGCTGAGATACCGCGATATGGCACTGCTTCCAATAGGAACAATGTAGAAGCGGATGTGATTCACCCAGTCGGGCGGCCGCACGCCCAGCAGCTCCACATAGTGACGCAGCACGGCGCCCTGCAGCCAGTCGCCGCCCAGGAGGAGCACCTTGATGGTGGTGGGCGGCTTGGCCGTGGAGTTGCAGTACTTCTGGATCTTGTTCATCAGCGCCTGCATCACCGCTCGCACCTCGGCCGTGTTGTGCGGCGCAAAGGTGGGCCTGAAGGAGGCCGCCAACACTGGCGCCAGCCGCGACGACAGAGCCACGTGGTGGAGCTCTGGTGGCCCCACGAGAGACACCACATCCGGCAGGATGGCCTCATCGGTGGCAAAAGTGCGCGCCACTTGATCCAGCAGCGACTTCCGCGGCTCCACATTCGTCGGCGACAGACACGCGTCCAGGGCTGATTTGGGCTGACTCTGCTCCGATCCCAGACTCAGCGAGTGCTTCTTCTTCGAACTCGACGGCTGACCACTGGCCGCGCGGAAGAGTCGACTCCGTCTGTCCGTGGCGCTCTCCTTGTCGCCACTCCGCGGCGGCGAGCCAGTGTTCTGCGGATCAGAATTGGGCGCCTCGGGATCCGTATTGCCTGCGCCACCCTCATTCCCCGAGCTGTCATTTCGCCAATCTCCGCTCCTCTCGGCTGCGACACCGCAAGGAAAAAACACCCCGTGTTGAAAAGGCATCGGGCGGAAGGAAGGATGGTGAAAAGAGAGAGAGAGAAATAATGCTTCCGATTAGGCTCATGACTGACAATCTCTCTCTTTCTCCGAACATCGCAAATATCTCACAAGTTTACATAAAGAGAATATAATATATCATGATTGAGAATCTCGAAGGAGGAAATTCAAGTAGAAGAAGATACAATATCGATATATAGACTCTGATATCATTTTCTTCATCTCAATAGAACGCTTCACTTAATCTCTTTTTTTGCAGTTCTAATACAGGAGATTTGCTATTTATACACATTCTTTTTATTTCATATTTTTTTTTGTAAAGAAAAAGAAAGAGAGAAGAGCACTTGAAAACAGTTATATAAAAAAAGAAAGAGTGTAATAAAGATAACGTGTAAGTCAAAAGCAAAAGCCACATGGAAATAACGTCATTAATTCAATTGTAAAACACCAAGAAAATGCAATAACAAGTCTTTTTGCTTTCTCATTATTGGAAAAAGAGAGTTTTTCTTAAAGGATTTGCTATGGTGTCTGTGGGTGTGTGTGTGTGACTGGAAGTGTCATTTGGATTATAAAAACAGACCTGCTCCTGGAATGGAATTTTTCTTATCGAGTGGTAGTGACGGGGCATTGAAGGAGTCCCTCTTCTCCAGTCGCATCTTCATGTCACTATTAAAGTCGCCTGCAAAAAGAATTATCAAGCCATGCACGTAAACTCATAATAATATCATCATTTCATTTGTTAATAAAATAGCACAAATATCTTTCCTCTCAAATATCTCTAAATATCCAAACATTCCTCGTGATCCTGTCCAAACTTTCTCATTCTCTCTCACTCTCAAACACACACGCACACAGCGTCAAAACACAAAAATGTCTCTCTGTAATTACACAATATTATCTTTTTTTTAATATGCATGCAGGCGAGTGCGCTTATTACGAAATTAAGACACAACATTTCTGAATTAGAGAATCAACAGCAAAAATGAAAAAAAAAATATATGAAGGAAAAACTTCTGTCGCTTTTTCTTCTTTTTCTCTAACTCCTTCTGCTCAAGAAAACTCAATTATGTCACCAACATAACATGATTAAACGCTGCAACCAACAAAACAACAACACGAAACTCAACAAATATGGAAAGAGAAATATATAAATTAAACTCTTAGCATAGTTTTGATAGCATGCAAACACATTTCTCAATTTCTTTTCTCATTAACAACATGGAAATGTTTCTATTTTCTCTCTCTTTTTTCTTTTACTGAATTCTTCAATGAAAATTCACCTCTAAAAAATTGTAAACTTCCCTATCTTGACCTTCAAATTTCAAGTTAAATGTAATTCAATTTCTTTTACTCCTTTTTTCCCTTTAGCAAAATTGCCTGATTATGTATTTGTGTGTGTGTGTTGATTGAATGCTCAGAAATCACCGGTGTGATTCTCATCCTAGGCAAATTCACCTCTTCAACATCACAATTTCTTTTATATATCTTCACCCTAAGACAGAATTAGAAGAGAACTAGATAAAGTTCCAGACAAACCAAGCATTAATAGACATTTCTTAACACATTTTAGCATTCTTCCAATATTTTCCTTGGCAGTTTGTCAACATTAAATGATTATATATTCATTTAACACCTTATCTAGAATCCCATCAACTCTGTCTTCAGAAGAGCAACACAATAAATTGGGAAATTGTATATTGATGCGTATGTGAAGGATAAAAAAACGAACACGTGTCATCTATATTTAGGGTTTACATGGTTTTTTTTTCTTCCCCAATCTTGAAGTGGGTCTTTCTTAGGGGGGAGGCGGGGAAATGTGAGAAGATAAAAAAGGTAATCGGGGAGAAGTCCTGAAAAGACAACACGGCACACTTCGTCGCTGTGTTTGGTGGGAAAAAGAGAGGCCAAATGAACTTACCCATCAAATTTTCATGAAGCATTGTTCTTGAATTCGTGAAGAAAGGTCGCAACGATGGCTTCGGCGTTGATCCCACGGACACAGTATCCATATCTGGTCCTGATTCATCACCCTCACCACACGACAGTGACTCCAATTCCTGATAAAGTGCATCCAGCACACGCTCACCACGGCCAGAATGTCGTGACACGCCACCATCAAGCTCCTCGGGAACTTTGAAGCGCTTCAGCAGAGCCACAATTTTCTGCTTAAAGTTGCGCTGCTGCAAAATCAACACAAAGAATAAACCATGTAAGTAAATTTCCGACGTCTTCACCAAAAAAACAAATAAACTTTTACAATATATAGTTTTCATATATAAACAAACATAACAAGAAAAAGTGGTTGCCAGAAAATCTAGTGGAAAATCAAGCATTCTATTAAAGTGCAAAATATATTAATTGATTTTTTAATTTTTCTTCTTTCTTTTCTTGCTGTTTTTGTTGTTGAAAAGTCTTTCTCGTCCATCGCAAATTGCATGTGTGTGTGTTTTCACATTAAGTGTCCCATCACAATTATTTGTATTTTTTTTTCTCTGGTGTGAAAACATCACGAATAGAAACAATATATAAATTTACATTTAACTTATGCAAATCACCATTAAAATCTTCTCTGTGGTGTCCGGAAAGCTGCCTGTCTGCTCATAGTGCGATGCTTTCCCGGCAGACGGCCGAAAAAAGTCCATCCGGGCATATTTTTGGAGTTTTTCATTTAAAAATAATTTCTTTAAATACACAAAAAGAAAACAAGAGAAAATAAAAAAAAGACATAACTCAAGGAGAAAATGGATAAAATTGAAGATAAGCTATCATTCCCGACAGTTATCATGACAATATTTCCCTCTCTTCTCTCGCCTTTTTCTTGTTCTTTTCTTTCTTTTCTTCTTCTTTAGCAAAAAAGCTTTGCGCAAATTAGCATAGAGAGTGATAGAGGAGGAGAGAAGAGACACAGAAGTGAGAAAGCGTAATCCCATGAATAACTTACACGACTCATTTTGGCACGATTTCCTTTATCCTTGCCAAGATTCTCAAATTCACTGTCACTATCACCGGGATTTTGACCTATCGGTGCATCCTCGGTCTCAGCATCATTCTCCGACCTTTCCAATTTCCTATAATTGCTCCCCCTCTTGGCATATCCCCGCTTGGCGTCGTATCCACTCAGCACACCGTCGCCGGGATCGTCATTCTCCTCGCCCGAGCTGAATTCACCCTCCTCATCCTCATCTGAGTATTCATTCACACGATCTAAAGGTGAGAAAAGATAGACACATTCATCATTTCACCATGTCTTCATCAAGAATAATTGGCGGAAGAGCAAACTCAAATTACCCGTCAGCAGTACACTATTATTATTCTTATTGTCATGATCAACAGGAATGGAAGATACTCGCTCCGCTCGAAGTGTGGCCAATGTCACACCGGGTCGACTGCCCTTTCCCGTGGCACTCAGTTCCACCGTCATGTCCATGGACTTCTGCAGCACGGCGTCCATCCTAATCATGCCCTCAGCCAGCGTCTTGTACCCCAAAATCGTGCGCGTCTTGTACTTCTTGCGACGCTGCAGCAGAATCAGCAAGCGATTCCCGTCGCGCTTGATAAAGTGCGGATACTGCAGACTGAAGTTCAAGTCCAATTCCGTCTCCAGCAGTGGCGGACTATTGAGCACGGCGCCGCTGGCGTTCGCCGTCAGCACAGACTGTGGCACGGGAATCTCATGAGATCGCAGTGTCCTCTTGGAGCTCTGCATTTTCACGGCCAGCGACACAGAGGACAAGTCCACTGGAAGCGGTGACAGGAGAGACAAGCGTGTTATTGTCAAGGAGCATAATCTGCAAGTGAAGAAGAGCGTGTAATTCAATTAGGAACCTTGGCTCAATTGTGAGTCGAGCATGTGATTTCATTTGGCCCAAAATTGGATGCAATTAATTGAACCCAGACAAGTGTTCAGACACACTGACTGTCAAATAAACACACACAATTGGGAAATTTGATGAAAAATCTCAAGATTAATGAGATTAAATAACATAGGATTGAATTAAAACATCCTGTCCTCTACACTTCTATAATTTTACAGTCTGTAATTCAGTAACATTACATCAAAATGTCCTGAAATCTTCAATCGGCCCTATTTACTTTTCCCTTACTGTTGCTCTAATAGAAATTCCTCTACTTTTGCCAAATTTGGCAAAAAGCTCCACCTCACACAACTCTTTCATGCCACGAAATGCTTGGCACCTCACCAAGAGTCCTCCTTTTTCTTCTCATACAGCATAGAATATGTAGAGCCACAGAGCAATCCCTTTTCAGTGCTGAACGTGTGCAGTGCAGAAAAAGACACCATAAACAATGTCTCACAGTCTCAATGCCACCTGAAAAGTGTTTCATGTCATCATTTTAGCCGTCTATAAAGTGCATGTGTGTGCATCTTCCGACCAACCCAGAGAGAGAGAGAGAATATCACGAGAGATTGCACAGAACGTCCCAAGAGAATGGCTTTGGTAATCAACAAACCATGACCTGACCACCAAGTTAGAAGACTCTACAATTAAAATATCATGTTGTGTATATTTTCTTCAATGTCAACCATTCATGTTTCTCCACCCACACACGCAGCCTCTTTGTTCTTTTCCCAACCACATTCTGCATCTCCTCACTCTCTCTCTCTCCTCTCCTCCGCCACTCCATCATCAGTGAAATACCAGCGGGAAACATGCATCACACACTCCAAACCATTCTAATTTTATCACTGAAATCCATGTGTGATAATTATTTACACCGCGAATTAATCCACCGCGTGTGTCATCTGCAGAATTTCCCATTATTCACTCCCTCTCCCCCAAGATGAGTGTGTCCCATTTGCACACAGTTCCGTCGCTCATTTACTATTGAGGAAGAACAAAGAAGAACAACTTTGCCAAACTTAGTTAAACTTTTCATCAGAAAACTTCACGAGTGTAAATCCACATGAGAACCCAAAACCACTACTGATTTGTTACTCTAAATATAAAAGAAGCATGGAATGTAAAAGTTGCATTGAACTGTCAAAAGTTTCGACAAAGAAAAAAGCAGAAATATGTATGTAATGTACATGCATGTCGACTTGTGCTGGCTCAAATAACATTTTGAGATAAATGTAGTTCAGTCGAGAGTCACGTGAATGTCAAGATGCGTTGCTTTGTGCAAATAAACTGTGTGTGAGTGTTTTTTTTAGCGTATCACACAAGTAATGTTATGAGTTTTGCAGACGCTTTGCATACAGAAATTTAGTAGTTTATTGACTTTCAAATCGTCATGCGACTTTCATTTCAGACAACATCAATTCTAATCTCATGTTCCCTTCGAATTTTCACCTAATTTACGATGTTATACATTTATTACCAAAACATTTACCATTGATACCCTCTTATCATGAGAGATATAAAAGTAGTTTAGATAAAAAGTGTTTATTTATGCACGATTTTGACAGATTTATATGTGTAAACAACGGAATAGATATGGAAAATCTGAAATTGACTATCAAACTTATTTATAACATTCAAATGTTTGCTTTTAAGCGTAATCATCGCGACAACAGGATATTTGCACTTCACTTTCTATTTCATTTTATTCTTCACCAATATACAATGTAAAATGGACTTCCTTTCAAAGTCACTTAATCATTTCACGAGAAGTGTAAACGTTGAAAGAAATCTCACAATCTCGTGGTCAACAAGAGAGAATATCAAATACTGCGCCAGCAACAATAAAAGACCATCAGTAAAATGTTAATAATATTCACGTTCAGAAACTTTCTTGATGGTGAAAGTGAAGCTCGATCGAGTTTCAAACAACTTTGGGGCCATTAAAATTCAATGTGCAGATTAGGTGTTTCAAACGATATATTAATTTCCAGTTGCAAATTAGTCGAGAGTTCATTCAGTTGCTAATTGGAAGGCAAGGCAAAGGCAATCGTCTCAAGAGTCAAAAAGTGAAACGATGGAGAATAATAATAATAATTTTAAGGTGCCGGACATTCGTGACCCTCTTTCAACTCTCTTCGTGCGCCACAATGATTGGCGTGACATTGATTATTATTTCAATGGCATTCAGTTCCTCACGCGACCAGGACGCCAATTGCATTTTTGCCTTTTTCCCTCCCCATTTTTCCGCGACGGTCAAACTTCCATGTATATCTCCATTCATCAGCGCATTTTCCTCGTCCAATCAACACTGCATATTTACCAAATACACCTGGTGCATTGAACAAGGTGTGTGTGAGTGTGTTTGCCTTTCTCATGTCAAATTCTCTCGGCGCTGCAAAAATCGGGGAAACCTCCACATGATAGTGAATCATCGCGCACATGTCTGCCTTTAGCTGACTATTTCTGCGGAGTAGAGATTCTACATCGCGTCTGTCATGCCTCCTTCGAATGTTTGCCTAACGCGAGACGATCGGCCAATTATCATCATTACGTATTTCGGTGAATTACTCTTATTTTTCTACTATTTTTTAACCTATATGATTCACGAATAATTTCACACGATTGCGTTTTGTACAGCGAACAATGATCCCCGAGTGTCTCACCGACTGTACAGCGCCAGAGACTACCTCAACGCCCAATGTTAAACAATAAAAGTCAATGTTGGAAAACTCTCTTTCTCGTCCATTATGAATGAATATGTGTCTACGTCATATGAATGAATCAGCAGTGGTGTACAAAACTATTTGCTTTACGCAAAATATTGTAGTTCCATTATGAACGTCACAGTTCAGCTTTTTCCGCCACACAATATCCACACCGCGGGTCACACATGTAACATCAAAAATTGATTCTCAACTCTCAATCAATTGACGTCACATCACACATAAGACTCTTCACTTCACCATAACATCAAATATCATCCACGACAGCGCGCTCTTGAAATATAGCGCAATCTAAACTAAACATATAAATAGAAAGTCTCACAAGTGCGACTCAGTTTTGTGACGGAGAAGAAAAAAAAACACACATTCATGTTACATGTTATCACTACATATTTTATGGCATTTTTCTTTTAGAAAAAGAATGGTGTTTTGCTTTTGATTTCCCATCATAATCTCTTCTTCCGCATATAAAAGCGATTTGTTTCACACAAACTAAATTAAGTAGCAAACACACTTGACGCAATAAAACTATTTGTGATCAAGAGATATAAATTTCATCAAGATAGTAAAATTCAATTAAATTCACTCTCATATCTAAATGGCAACACGAACAATATTTTCATTGTTCATTTGCCCATAATTTAATATTAACTTCAAAATATGTGTTTTAAAATCTCTCCGCCATTCTAAACAAGCACGAAAGTACAGAAAAACATCTAAAAGGATACTCAAAAGTATTAGTAAAAGAAACAGACATAAAAGGCGCCAAGAGACGAAAAAAATATGTGATTCATTGCACTTTTCATGCCAGATATAGCAAGAAATTGCGTGGGATTCTACAATTACTGTGCATTTTGCCACTCTCTTGTCTTCTGTCTGCACAATATTTCATTCTTTCTGATATGTGAGGGAGCTTGTAAACCTTTGACTTATCGCCAAAGAGAGAAAACAGTCGAGGCTCAGTCTCGTCTGCTCACAGTTTTTCTTCCATCTCGCCATTTATCATCAATGCACAATAATATCAACTCATCCCAAAGACTGCAAAGCTCGCAGTTTTTCCTTTAATAATTGTCATTCCCACAATTTTCTCTCGCTCTCTTCCTCTTGCATCACACCCTAAATCACAATGAAAGATATTATATAGGATGCTTAATTTCCACTTGATATTCATAAAATAAATTTCCTCCTATTACAATACATTGTCATTAATTACAAAATATTCTTAACGCCCGTCTCTCTGCCAGGAAGGAAAAGGAACATCTTTCACTCAACGATGAAAGAAACGAAGAAAAATGCCTACGAAAATTACTTTACATCCACATTTTTTCGTTAAGAGATCCCGCCAATTATGAAATTCTCATTTCTCTATTTCTCTCCACTTTCGCGATTCTGACCATCAACATGTTTTTTTCTCTTTCTCCTTTTTCTTCTCCACACACACACACACACACTCATACACATCCATTTCATCCTATAGCATTTCATCCTCACTTTCACAACACAATCGCCAATGTGGTTTTGACAAGATGTACAAAAAAAATATATTACTTTTGAAGGGAAAGCAAAAGAAAATAAGAACATAAACCATCTTTTATGAAGCTTATTCATCTCTTGAGCTCTATGGCATCGGAGGAAAACACCTAAAATTTACAATTTAGAAGTGATGCAAATGGCAGCAGTACGTATACAAACACCATATTGATGGGATCTCATCTGAAAATGGGTATTTTTTCCATCGAGAAAACAACCATTTACCCCACATACGGTGGCACTTACGATGCCGTCATTTGTAGACCTCAAAACACAGCAAAGAAAGTGGTTTTTATCTTATAGATTCGCATTGCATATCACACAACATACAATTATTCGTGATTATTGCTTCTTTTTGTGTCAAACTGGTTCTCTAATTCACCAATAATTAAACCACACACTCACCATATCTGCACAATATGCTTCGCATTTGAATTTTTCAAGCAAATTGTGTATGGTTAGAGACACATTTGAATATACAGAAAATATAATGGTCAATGGCATTTTCTAATCTTTTATCTAATAAAAGAGACTTTATTCAATATAACACCAATTATATTGCAAATTTAAAACCATTGAACTCCAATGTGGAGAAATTATGACTTCGAAACCATTACAAATCTATATTTATTTCATATCAAACCTCTGAATATTGTTGTGAAAATGGG